GTTTTCAGTGTGATGCTCAAATCCAAGAGAAACAAGAAAGTTTCCTTAACCAAAAATTGCCAAGAAAGGCTTGGAACTGAATAGAAGAGCTTAGGAAATGTGTGGACACCTACAAGTACCTGGTCATCTTCTCTATGGCCAGCATGAGGACAGGTAGCTGATGGACATCTGCATGCCTGGGAGCACAGCTGGATGTTCTTTGGAAAAAACTAGGGGATGATGGTGGCCTTGGGTCAGAGCTCATCTGTTGATACAAATACAACCTACAGGTCATCAGGAAGTTGAGGGGGGAAGTTGGTCTCCTTTCACCAACCTCTCGAAGGAGGAGGTGAACGAGTGGTTCATGAAATACATGAAAATGGACTACACCTAGCTGGCAACAAAGCAACTGTCACTGTGAGCCAGGCTCTGGGGCCCCTGGAGCAGTTCCCCCACAGTGTGAAGCCGCAGCCGAGGCATCTGGGCCTGCCCACTGCCCTCGAGAGGTAAGGCGACCCTGCTGTCTGACCATGAGGTGATGGGCTCGTGTCCTGAAGCTTTTCAGGTATGAGATGGCTGGATTCAAGGTGACCATGAGATACGTGTGGGATGCACAGTCAGGAAGTTTCCGGCAGATGGGAGATGACTTGCCAGAGAGCACATCCGACTCAGCAAAAGACTCAGAGTCAGACAGAGACTGCTGGGATCTCAGGACCAAAGGCCTCCCTGCACGTGCGGGACTGTGGGGGACCCTGCAGGGCAGCTGCTGCCCCTCCACAGGAGCAGCTCTTTATTTGGCTGTAGATGAAGACAAGGGAGGGTGATGGGCACAGACTGTGTTCCTGTAAAGAATGAAACTTCACAGGGTGTCTCTCTTGAGACAATAAAAGGGACTTTTCTTAGGTTAAAAAAAAAAAAAAAAAAAAAGGTCTCTAGCTCTCTCTCCAGGTCTCCTCCTCACCCGACTAAGGATGATTCCAGAGCAAGCTGCTCCATCCTCTTTCACTTCACCTCCTGGGGAGGCAGCTTCCTCTGCACCTGCACAGTCAGGTTGGAAGGGATTTGAGAGGCCAGGCTATCTAGGGGTGGCATTTCCAAAGACATGACTAGTCAATACTGTAGGCACCGCTCTCGTTTTTCTCTTCCCTGCATGCCTCCGGAATGGCCAGCTACCTGCCTGTCCTAGCTGCTAGGTGGCAGTGGGCACCAGAGCTGCTCAACTGGTCTGGCCAGATCAGGGTACAAAAGTGCCCTCTCTTGCGCTCTGACTTTTTTTCTCACCTGTTCTAGTGGGTGGGGGTTGAATGCCTGAGACAAAATGGACTTTTTGCACCTCAGACCTGAGACCTGGTTTGGGGGAGATTTAGTGGAAAATGATCATTCATGGAGGTTACTTTGGCACGTTCAAAGGGCTTTGTATACATCCCATACCACATATGCACAAATATAAGAGGATTTTTTTCGCCAAAGAGAATAGCTTAAATCTTGCATATTTCAAAGCTTTTCAAAGCTCTCTTTTAATTACTCTTATTTTGAAGAAAAAATTAATATTTGAAGGAGATACTTTCTCTTGAAACAACAGTATTTCTTTTGGTTGTTCAGACATATGCATTTACCCTTTGAATCAACAATCTCAATTCTAGGAATCTATCCCAAATATACATTGCAAATATATAAAAACATACATGCACATGGCTATTCTTTATAGAAATTTTTACATAGGAAAAGACTGGAAGCAACACCAATGTCCATCAATGGGTGACTGGTTGACCATTAAGAAGGAATTTAATATGGGGAGATTGCTACAAAGGAAGTAGAAGAGAAAAAAGGCAGACAGGATGTTGGGGAAATATTAATAGCACCACCATTGTCAGAGACAGAAATAGCAGGCAACCTTACCATCTCCAGGGCTAGAGGAACAAAAGGAAAATATGATGCTATCAGCCAGGGCTTCCCAGTGGGATTGGAACCTTCTAGGTGATAATAGCCAGAGATATAGCCCAAAGCAGAGGAGAATGGGAAGCCTCTTCTCTCCATTGTCCCTTTGTCCCCTACTTGTGCCTAACTCTGCCTAGCAAGGAAACCTGATTTGCAGGGGTCAACCAGGGAACAGCTGGGGGAGGGCAGAGAACACAGCTGGGACACTAAGAGGAAAGTTTTATTGACTGTTTTCTTTTCCTATTTCTTCCTATATCTCATGATATTTTACTGAAAATTACACATTTTGATAATGTATTTTAGCAACTCTGAGCCATGATTCTCTTTCCTGACATTTTTTTGTTGCTGTTGTTGCTGTGTTTGTTTGTTTGTTTGTTTGTTTGTTTGTTTGTTTGTTTAGTAACTTGTCGGGGCCAGACCCGTGAAATCCCCCATGCTGTTTATATCTCTGCTCCCTTAAAAAACAACTACTGTTGTTTTTAAGTCTGGCTTACTAGGGGTCATCCTTCTTTCTGTATAGCATAGTGGTCAATCAATTTCTGGGCAGAGGCTGGACTCAAAACACATGAGCCAGTAAGGTTTCTGTTCTCTGTTGATCAATCTCTTTGTGAGAAGGGGACCACATTCAAAGCTCAGTATGCTTTTTTTAAGTTTTCTCCAGATTTTTCTTTCTTCTGGGCTCTTTTGCGTCTCTTCTGTGCATTTGCAACCTCAGTGTTAGCTGGAGGGCTGTGGCCATCTCTAGTCTCTGCTGTGGATGTTTGTAGTCTCAGCTGATACTACACTTGCTCTAGCCACAACCTCAGGCTAGAACAGTCATTGGACGTCTCTGCTGCTTTACTGCCAACATGGCCCACCCCTCCAGATCAAGTGTGCCCAGTGTGACTATGGCAACAAAACTACTAGTTGTCACAGCCTGTCCCACCCTGGCAGAACATCCTTGTCAACCAAGCTGGAGGGAGGATGAGGGTAGTCCCAGTAAAGAATACCCTAGGCTGACTCCCACTGGTCTTCAAAATTCTACAGTTTTTCCAGCATAACTGCTTCTCAAACTGTGGTGTGCTTTCAGTAGATTCTAAGAGAATGGGAAGAGTTATCTTCGCCATTTGAATTTGCCATTTTTGTCTTGCTTTATCATTGTTTTTGAAGTGAGGATTTGCTGACCTCTTTCCTCAGCCATACCCTGAGGTTCTGTTCCGTTTATCCAATATATGTTTATTTAATATTTTCTTGTAAAAGGTATTTTGCTGGGCACTGAGTTTTCTTAATAAATAATAATACAGACCTAGATCCTATTCTTATAGAGCTTGTATTTTCACAAAGGAGATGACAAGTGACTATATGATTAATTATTTAATCCCAAATGTAGTGACTGCTACCATGGAAAGGCACTTATACTTTTGTTTTTGTTCCCTGTCTTATTGGATTAGCCATAAGTTCTAGAAAAGCATTACCTAACTTAGTAATAGCAATGACAGGTATAATTTTCTATTTTCTGATTTTGATAGACATGGTTCTAATGTGTAACCACTAAGATAAATGTGTTTAGAAATCATGTTGAAGAATTACTTATTCCCAGTGTTCTAATAACGTTTTCCCTGTTCAGAAACTTATGTTGTGATCATTTTGTAGTTCATAAGCGTGACAATTTAGTTTTCATGCTCATATGTAAGATGCCCCTCTCTCAAACCTTGTTACAACATCGGCACGTTATCCATTTTGATGTGAAAAAAAAGAAGAAAGAAGAAAAAAAGGAAGAAAAACCCAGAAAAGAAAAAAAAAATTATGTTGAAAGTTATCAGATAATTTTTCAGCATCTCTTGACATTTGCATATAAGTTTTCATATTAGATCCATTTGTATCACATTTGATATCTTGAGATATTCTAATAGCAAAGTAGCTTCCTAATTGGAGCAAAATATACTAGATGGAGGTGGGTGATCATTTAAATTTACTTGAATTTCATTTGCTGGTACTTCATTTAGTATTTTATTGAAAGCGAGTTAGGCCATTATTTCAGCGCTATCATTTTTCCGTTTTTAATCATTTTTTATATTTTTCTATGATCTGCAATTATTCATGAATATGCTTTTTAAAAGAGTGAGGCAATTTAAACCAAAAGAAAGGAAATAAATTTGGCAGTTTATAATATTATATTAGCTACAGAGCAGGAATACATCCTAAACTCAAGACTTACGGAACCAAAGTGTTTTATTAATATATCCCAAAAGGACTTTAAATGTTGTCCAGTTGAAAATGTAGTTCTTTAGCCTTAAACAAACAAACAAACAAACAAACAAAAAACCTGGGTCCTTAGAAGTTAATCTGACTGCCTTTTATTTATAGTAATGACAACTACTCAGGATAAGAAAGATAGAGAAGTCCCACTGGGAAGAAACCTGTGATTCCCCTGGCATCAATAAGCATATCCTTATTACAGTACTTGCCCCGTTGAATTAAAATTATTTACTGACATGTATATAATCCCCAGTAGCCTAAAGTACTTTATGGTGATGATTTTATCAGGTCTCTGTCCCTACCTCCTGGTGCAGCTCCCAGCACATGCAGTTCTCTTTATTTTATTATTATTATTATATTTTTTAGAGAGGAGGTCTTGCTCTGCCACCTAGGCTAGAGTGCAGTGGCACGATCATAGCTCACTGTAACCTCAAACCCCTGGGCTCAAGCAATTTTCCCTCCTTAGCCTCCTGACTACAGATATGTGCTACCATGCCTAACTCATTTAAAAAATTTTTTGTAGAAACGGGGTCTTGGTATGTTGCCCCAGCTGGTCTTGAACTCCTGGCCCCAAGTGACCCTCATGTGTCGGCCTCCCCAAGTACTGGGATCACAGGCATGAGGCATCATGTCCGGCCCAGTTATTTTTAAATCTTTATTGCATGAAAGAATGAATGGGGCCATAGAGGGAACATCAAAATCTAAATGACAATTCTTACTATCCAATGTCCCAGTAAGGGACCTAAACAATAGATTTTACAGGGGCTAGAAATGGTGTAAAGATAAGGTTGAAAGGAGGAAAACATGCAAATGTCAGGGACTCTCAACGATGGATGGACAGTCATTAAAACGTACGCAATAATTCAACTCAGATGTCTTACCAAGAAGAAAGACAGACTTGTTTTCATGGAGATGCCATTAGATTCACAGAGATGTGCACAAAATGTGTGTTCTCCTGAGGGTTCACATCCAGCTTCATGAGCTCAGGCAAGTCACTTCATTTTTCTGGGCGTCTGTCTTTCCAGCTGTAACATACAGGGGGTGATTAGGTCTTTCTGAGAGTCTCTTCTGTACTTGACATCTTTTGATTCCAAGATGAACGAAAAACAACCAGCTGGTTTTCTGAAAGATTTTAAAATCCGAAACTAGGTTATATATTTTTATAATAATAAAAGTGAGTTGGAAACTGCCAAGGCCACTGACCAGTTTTAAGCATCCCCACAACCAGAGAATCTCTACAAAAGGAGAAACAAAAAGGCAATTCAGTCCCAAAAATGTCAGGAGGAGAAATGATTGTTTGCTCTTGGTAATGTAGGACCGTTATTCAAGTCAAATAGGTTTGTCTTCCCAATATTTGAGACCTGGAGCTTGCTCTGTTATTTCTGCTGTGTTTCATTTGGTTAATGTTTAGCAGAGGGGGAAAAACGAGGAGAGAGACAAAATGTGTGTTTGAAAATTGCAGCCACTTTTCTTCTACAGCCACAGGCTGTGATGTCAAGAAGTAAATGACAGAAGACTTCAGTTCTGCTATCTATAACCTCATGCATTGCAATTTCCCCCAGGGAAGCTGCATTCTTACAGCTTCTTAAACAGGAAGTAGATCTGGCAAAAAAAAAAATATTTAAGTGCATTTTGCACTGGGTATACCACAGACTCAGCCAGAGCAGTCCTAAATAGACTTCATGGAAATCTTCACACTTTTTTTTTTTTTTTGTCAAAGAGCAGTGCCTCCTTCAAAAACACTGATCTTGCCATCATGGACATTCTCCTTAATTTCTCCTTAGCAATTCTGTTGGAAGGAAGACTTTTGGTGCCTTTAAACAGATTGTCCTCCTGCACAGTAGCATTTGATAAGGGACAGTATACAGCACAGGTGAGTACTGTTGAAGGGTAGGATGGAGAAGAGGGAAGAAGGTGAAGGAGGAGTCCAGAAGAGGTAAAAATCCAGAAACCAGAGCAGCCTGGAAGAGCCTGAGAGCATTGGATGATGAGAAAACCTGCAGGGAGTGAACAGCGAGCTGAAAAAGTTCTAATGAAAAATCCTGCCTTCTCCATATCTTTTCTACTATAGAGAGTTGGGGTCTAGTTCAAACTGTGTGATCTCACACTGCTCTGAGCATTTCATAGTACAAATTGTGGAACTTCGACTAATGCTGGCAGAGTTATTTAATTTCTTCCAAGGAATGGAGTATACAGGAATTTTTTTATTACATAGATCAATCATTAGAAACATCTTAGATTATATTATTCATGCAGTTAACCTGAAATGAGTATGGTAATAGTGGCAGGAAACAAGCAAGAATTACCCTCATAAACTTGGAGATTAAATTAAATCTTTTTTGTTAAACTCATTTATTGAAAAAAATTATCGATTCTCCCAGTAACAATGTGATTCTGTGAATTAAATTTTATGTTATTTAGAGACTTCAGAGTAAAATTATTCCAAGGCTTGCTTCTCTTGGATGAAGGGCTGTGAAATCTCATTTAGGATGTAGAGTATTATAATTGCATAAATTACTCAGGGCTTATGATATAAAATTGTTAAGAAAAACAAATAGATTTTTTTTTTTTAAATTCAGGGAGTATGTGGTTCCCTGATGAGATCAGTGTCTTTTCAACCTCAAATCAGTTTTATTTCTTGGCTCTTTCATGAACTTTCCTTCCTGTGCTACAAGAATTTCCAAGGGAGATTGTGTCATGTGCTTTCAAATTCTGCCAAGAAAAAAGTACTCCATTGCTCATAGCTGCGTTTATATCATTTGGTTATTTCCTATAATGGAACATGGCTAAGGGAAGGGGTCAATGCTGAGTTCTTATTAATAGTGTATCCATAAATATTGACTATATAGTTGGATTAGCTTTATAAACAGATAGATTAAAGAGCTAAATTTGCAGTGAAAATCTCTACATCTGTTCACTAATATCTGAAACTGATTTTTAAAAAAGGAATGGGTAAATGAGTAAAATCTCTCATAAATATAAATTGTCTTACTAAGTTTCCACAATATGTCAAACCTAAGACAAGAGCTTGCATGCAGATAGTTTATTTTGGTAAATGATCCCAAGGAATGAAAGTAAAAGACAGGGAAGTAAGGAAAAACAATCCAAAGGTGTGTTATTAAACTTTTCACCACTGTACTCAGCTGGAGCTTGGGTCACTTGGGGACATCTGTGGAACCAGTTATAATTCACCTTAGAATTATTCATTCATGGGATGCAAGAGGAAGATATTTATCCAACAACTTCTGTCCCCCATTGGTGAATGCCCAATGGGGTATTAGCTCCATCTCACTTCCAGGTTGGCCTACCAATTGGAATAGCTGAGCAAGTTTCTGCAGGAATGTGGGGGGTGGTACTGGAGCAGGCTAAGGGTCAGAAAGCAAGAGATGCGTGGTTGAGCTGAACAGAGGGGCTGTCAGGCTACACTTGCAGGCGTTAGTAGGGCTGGAATGAAAAGGGAGCCTGGAGGACCTGAGACAGAGCCCGGGAGGTATAAAAGATGCATAGGTTAAGCTTCAAATACAAAAGTTTATTAATACATTCAATTCAGTATAAGAAGGCCTTATTAGAGCATATCAGTAGAGGGCCAGTAGCGCAGAGGATGCTGAATACCTCTGAGAAGTTTAAGCCATAAAACAAAAGGAAGATCATACCAGGAGAGTAGGTGGAGGATTTCAGCAACCAGATTGGCCTACTTAATAATTGTGATTAAGACTAAGACTGCCTGAATTTCACTGAATTAAAGAGTCTTCAGGATCATAGTGACTTCAAGGTCATCCACTTCAAGACTCCCATCTGTGGCTTGACCCTCTGTAAGTGTCTAGTGGCCTTTGTCTAAAGTTCTCTAATGTTAAAGTAATCACAGTCTTCTGAGACAACTCAGTATAGCTTTGGACATTTCTAACTACCAGCTGTTGTGGCAAAAATTTGTCTGTGTGAGGTTCCTGATGTTGGGTTTTGGACCCTTGGGGCCATGCAGAACTATTTAGATCTGAAGAGTTATTATGTCTCCCTGATTCTTCAGTCATCAGGCTAAGCATCTCCAATTTCTTCAAACACTTATTCTTCACTAGTGTGCATAGGTCTTTCTCCTCTGAAATCTCCTACATTGAGGTGCCACAAATCAAGTGCCAGACAATGGATTGTAAACTGGTGAACATTGGAGGAGTACCATTTCCTCCCTCAAGCTAGATAACACCATTCTTGTAATATAGACAGAAAGTGACACAGCCTTCCTGGAAGCCACTTTGCACTACTAAATGTAACTGAGTTCATTGATGACCAAGACCCTTGACTCTTTTTCAAATGAGAATAGCTAAACCATATTTTAATCCACCTTTGTACTTATTGGATGGATTCACTTTTTTTCATTTTGGGGGAGCAATGAGGTAAGGGAGGAACTATACATGAATCCTTATTAAAATTCATCTTGTTAGATAAGCTAATTGTTTTGACCTGATAAGAACTTTCATAATCATAATTTGATATTCAACATGTTTATTACCGTTTTTAGATTTTTGTCACCTGCAAAGAGAAAGACCTGCAAGTAGATTGCAAGTAGAAAGGTCCCTTTGAGAATGGCCATTCAGCCAATTACTAAATCTACCAATTGCACTAGGATAAGCAATGGAGTAATGAAAAAGTTGTAGGTCTTTACCTTTGAACAAGAGAAGCCAGTAATCATCAGAAAATGCATTTTAGGGAGTAAGATAAAACCATAGCCCAATTCTAGAGTACAGGCAACACTTTTGTATTTCTGAGAAGAATAATTGTGTGGTAGCAGGTATAATTGAGGTCACTAACTAGAAGTAATTTTGGTGAGACCATCAGGAAGATCCAGTAGAACCCACTGCTCTGCTTGGAGGAGGGACTGTTAGGAGAAATAAAAAATTGCTCTCCCATGCCTTCCCCTACCTCAAAGGATGGTATGAGAACTACAATTTTGGGAAGATGCTACCCAAATTATCATAGGTTTCTAAGAAGAGTTTTATGACCCATGAGTTTTTATGATCCCCTCTTTCTTGTGAGTGGACAGCAAAAAACTGTTTCCAAATTCCATTTGTCTTTTAGCATGGAAGCTCCTGACATCCTCCTGTCAGGCTGCTTCACTTTTCTTGGTTTGGGGACAGGGCTGGTGGAGCCAGAACTGAGAAGGAATCAGCATCTAAGTACATACAGAATGAGCCAATGTGGGCACTGATTTTTGTCGTTATCTGCACTCAACATACAGATCTCCCTAATTCTCTCTGTGGGTTTCCACACCACATAATAGATCTCTCCTTTAGTTCTAAATTTATATTCTATTTCCTCAGTAGCTCTGCCATGAACCCTAGTCCATTTTCCAGGAGTCATGATGTCCTGCCTATCTCTTTGCCAGTGATCTACATTTGGGGCTTATGGTAGGCAGAATAATGCCCTCTTGAAGATGTTCACATCGTAAATTATATAATCTGTTAGGTTATAAGGCAAAGGGGAATTAAGGTTGGAAATGGAATTATGATTGCTAATCAACTGGCTTTAAGACAATTATCTCAGATTGGAGAAACCCAGTGTAATTATAAGGATCATTAAAAGTAGAGGAGAGGGGCAGAAGAAATCACAGAAAGACATAGGATGATGGAAGGAGAGTTGAGGTGAGGTAATATGAGAAGGACTCAATAGGCCATTGCTGGCTTTGAAGATGGAGGAAGGGCCATGAACCCTTTCCAGCATCTATGTGGCCTTTAAATACTGGAAAAAGCAAGGAAACAGGTTCTTCCCGAGATCTTCCGGAAAAGGATGTAATTTTGCCTGACACGCTGATACTAGCCCAATGAGACCCATGTCAGACATCTAAATTTTGGCTAATTAGAGAACAAATTTGTATGGTTTAAGCAGGTAAATCTGTAGTAATTTGATTCAGTAGCAATAGATAACTAATATAGGACTATATAATGTTTCTTGCCCCCTCATATAAATTTTTAGATTCTGATCCAACCTGAAATTATGACTCTTCAAATGATGATCACTCTTTTTTAAAGTTAAG